GTCACCCTTGTCTGTTAAAATAGTTATTTTTAAAATAAATCCTTTAGAATTATAGAGTAGTTGAAGTTGGTGAAGTTGGATGGAGCCTCTGAAGCGTCCAGTCTGAATCTCCTCTCAAAGCAGCACAAGCTACTGTAGTTTTCTCAGGACTGTGTCCATCTGAGTTTTTAGTTTCTCTAAGGATGGAGCTTCTACAGCATATCTAGGCAATCTGTGCCTGCATTTAACAAGCCTCATGTTAAAAGGATTTTTTCTTACATTTAAATTGAATTTTATCTATTTCAGTATGTGCATCACGCTGGGAAGAGTGGAATGTTGAGTCAGTTAAGTAAATTGATCCGAAATAAAAACAAATGCATGATTTTTTGAAATTTATTTTTATGAAAAAAAATCAACAAGTTGATCTGTTCAGCCACAGGTTCACAAGATTTAATGCTAGGGAAGTTGCAAGAATCTCCAGGAAGAAACAGGGGAAGAGCAGAGCTTATTCTTTTGGTGGAAAATCATCTTCTTTTAGCTTAAGATGGATGTGGAATCTCCTCTTGAGTGTTTTTCTGAATTCAAACAACAGCAACCTACACAGCTGCAAACAGCTGTGTAGTTTCCTGAAAAGGTTAGATTCTGACATCTTTAGAACATTGTATCTGGGAACTGAATATTTCCCACGGCACAAAAATTTATGAATAAATTTTGACTTTTTATTTTCTAATTTATTTTACTAATACCTGTTGAATGCAACACAACTTCAACCTGAAAATAATAATCATAGCACTAGCCTGGAAGAAAGTAGGAGATTAAGAATTGTTCATTTACATGTAAACCTAATAAATCCCCCATCTAAAAGATACTAATGAGGTGTCATATAACTAGCAGCTGAACATTACAACAGATAAAACACAAGCACACATTGAAGACACAAAACCTTAAAAACCTCCTTCTCACTTCCCATGATGACTCAAATTGTGGATATACAGAGATATAAGACTCACTGGGGGGAAAAAAAAATCTATCGTCTGCTCCATGTTTCCTGTTCGGGCATAAGGACTTTGTAGAATATGCCTAGAAATGATAAATGAAGGAGATGTGATTTTGAGATTTTTTTAGAATAATTGCAGATGACAAGGAATATGCTCAGCTGGAGTCTTCCTTCATCTCTAAAATGATGGAAGAAACATCAAGCCTTTTTTTTTGATAGAGCCAGCATTAAACTTGACATTAAACTTGAAGGGCCCTGGAGTGAGGGTAAGACTTCATAGCTCTACACCAATAACTTCTGTAGCATCCAGAAAGACCTTACTATCATTTAGTATCAACATCTCTCACATGTTCACTTGAGATAAGAGCATATGAATTTGTGCTTTACTGCAGAGCAACTAAGATGATTGTAAACTTGAACACTAGTTTAACTCAGTGTGTCTCATTGGGGAAATCCCAGTAGGACATTTCTCACCAAGTAGGCAGAATGAACATCAGAAACCATTAACAGAAATGATTTAAGGTGTCCCTTCTCCCAAGCTTTAAAAGTGACTGGCTCACCAATCAAGTTAATTTGTTTTCTTTTTCTTGAATGGCAGGAAACAGTATATATGTGTCCTAAATCCCAAATATTTGTAGAACAACAACAACAACATGGTGTTGCTACGTTTGTTGTTTCTGTTGCTGTTATTTCAAAGGGAGCATATGAACTGGCAGAAATCATGAAGGTACATGCTGCTCATCTTGTATGCCATTCTAGGCAGGGCACTGGCTAGATTTTTACTGTTAGAATTGCCCTTTGAAAATTAATCACAATAACACTAAGCGTTTTTCACTAAGATTTCTGACCCTTCAGTCCAAATTCATTAGGAGGAGCAAGACAGACTTTCTGTAAATTAGACAGTGAATGAGAATTTGAATGAAATATTTGCAAGATTGAATATGTATCCACATGCAAATAACAAATCTTAAATGCTTCCTTTTTTGCTTTAGTCTGCAGGCACAAGCAATGGCAACATTTTTTTAGGCTCTCATTCCAATCATTAAGAGCTAGAGATGGTTTTAAAAGTACAGACTTTTTTTTTTTTTAAATCAAAATACTTCTCAAATCAGAGGTGAAAATTGAGGTGAGAAAAAAAATTAATGCACTCAGTCCTGTGGCAAAGATATATGCCCAGGGGTGTAAGAGTTCCTTAGAATAGTGGGGTTTTGTTTTTGTTTTTTAATAGTTCATCTTGTATACTTATATAAGTAGAATAATGGCAGTGAATAAAAACTGCTTACATCCCCAGAGAGAATTGTAATCATCTGGAATGTAGGAGATGGATTTTAAAATCCTTCTTCTGTCTGATTCTGGATATGAATTTGAGCACATTTTTATGAAATGTTAAACAAATACTCCTCAATTAAAAGGTTGTTTACTTAATCTTGGATTATACTCTGTCTTATTTTTAGAACTCTTGCAAAGGATATCTGGAAGTACAGATTTTTCTTCCAATACCCAAAGTGGGAGAAAAGCTTAAACTCTGAGTTATTTCACCAAGTACAGTTTACTGGCCAATTCCATTACCTTCACTAGAAAAATATTTTATTTTTACTTCTAAAATTGTAATTTTCTCTGTATATAATCTTCAATTTTTAAATGTGAATTACAGAAATTAAAATCTAGCAAATACCACAGTTAAATCTGTATTTTGTGATTTTTTTTTCCTTAACAAATACCTGCAAAACTTGAGATAATAATCCCCTAGGAACCAAAAAAAAATTAAAAAAATATATAATATTCATATTGGGATTTAGGGTATAAATACCCTCTTCCAGCATTAAGTCTTGCAACTCAGATTTTAACATAAAAATAAAGTTAAGCATTTAAATATACAGAAAACATTTCTATTTTCTAGAAGAAGTCTTATATGAGCACAGCAGAATTCAGGCAAAATTGGAAGTTAAAACACATATATAAGATGATATATGACATTCAAAATCCCTTGCCTCTTGTCATTAACAGCATAATTATTCAATAATTAAAGATAAAATTTTTAAAACTCCCACAGGGCAGTCCAGGCCATATGAAGAGACTATTTTTGTGCTTTAATATTTGCAGTAGTGTGAAACATAGAGGCCTTTATCATGTACTAGTCCCTTAACAGTTATACACTGAAAAGATAAACTGCATCCCAACTTTGCATAAAACAGATGTTAAAGGAATAGATGTTTTATGTGGTTAATTACTTAGAGTAAGAAATGAAAATCAACTCAACAGTTTACTGTGCAGTAATGTAGTTTTGGGACTTGCACAAGCCAAAGTACACTATTTACCCAAGAATCACTCAACTCAATTTTTAAGGATTCTGAGCATACTTTTCATGCTATTAAGATGTTTATTTATACGGATAATGGACAATTGGTCCTACAAACTTGTAAGTCTAGATGCCTCTGATTTCATTCCCACAGTAACCACAAGCTATACTCACCAGGCTTTGTGTTGTCCCAGCTTTCTCTGGGACTATCACTCCTAGGGACTGTGTTTAGCCACCTGTTAAGCCACTGCTGTGGCTGAGTATAAGTTAAAGGCCTCTGTAAAGAACTAACCCTGTCCTACCAACCTTATAAGCTAGAGTAGTAACAAAATCCTTCATGACACCATGAGGGATGTGCACTTACACATCCTGCTGGAAGTCTGAAATGCTGTGTTTTCACATCCAATATGACTTCAGCACTAACAGTACTTTACCATGGATCAATTTTGTAATTTCTGCTAAAAACAAACCCACGCATTTTCACAGTCAGCATGATAACACTGAACATAAGGATTTGCCCCCAAAATCAGTTCACCATTTTCCATTACACCATGCAAAGAGAACTAAGTGGGATCATACAGTAGCTGTCTTCTTTCTGTCATAAATAAATACCTCTGAATATCTCACTGAGGAATGTATCTCTGTTCACAGATGATAAAAACATCACATTTAGCTGAAAATCCTGTTCTAGTTTTGTTAGTTTTGTTGTGACTTTAAGCCTCTAATTGGACAGTTCATGTACCATAGAAGCTGTCAGAGTAGCTAATAGAAAATTTACAATGCACTTCCTAAAGATTTGGTGAAAAATAGGCTTTAAGAGACAGATCTTGCCTGTAAAACATTACTCCTTATGCCAAAAAGAGACTAATTCTGCAGGGATGGAAACCTCAGCAAGCATTAGAAACTCTGTGCCATATGGTGCAAACAGCTGGCACCTGCTTCACCCAGTGGTTTCCAACTGTGCATTTTGGATCAAAACATTATAGCTGTACACAGAGTGCAGATAGTCTTGTACTCACAATTCCACCTTATTTTCAGCAGTTTAACTGCATGAAAAAAAGGCTAAAAAGTAAAGTAAGTGTTATTCTGGTGCTCATTTTCTCCACAAGCAGTTTTGACTCACCGAGGTCCGACACAAGACATACAAATCCTCCTCTACAGAACTGGGAATGGAATGAGAAGCGACCTCATCAGGCCAGCAATCTGCAGCTTTGTGAAAACTTCCAGTGTAACTCAAAATCAATCCTCCACTCATTCTCACTGCAGAATTTGCTTATTTGGTTAACAATCTATTTCTATTACATATGTTCTTCATAGCAGAGCTTTACATGTGCAAAGATCACGGACTCATTTGTGACCACCAGATCTGAAAACAACCTGTAAGCTTCTGTTCAGTAGGAGGATGAACTAGTTCTTTTTGTTTCACCTCTACACCTTTAAAGCCAGGGTAACAAAAGCACAATCAATCCAGTACAGAGGAGGGGCGAGCACACACTTGGTACTGGAAGGAACAAAAATGCATAGTTGTACAAGCTGCAGTCACACATAGACCCCACAAAACGTCAAGGAAAGGAAGTGACTTATTTTTAAGTTGCACTGGTTTCATCCAAACAGCTCTAGTGAGGAAGATGAGAAGGCAGCATGCACAGATAGAAAAAGCAAGCAACTTTTTGACAGGCATTTTAGACAGGTGTCACTACTGCATTTGCCATAACGTTCAGCTACAAAGATCTAGGCAAATAATTCCAAAATATATGTCTACTTTGTACCATTTCTTCTAAAAGATGATACCTTCCTTCAAAACATCATTATTCAGTGTTTCCGTAAGCTGATCAAGAAATGTGTTAATTTCATTTTGAAATGTCAAAAATGACATTGTTTAGACAGGGATTGGTCTGTTCACTCATGGATGAGCAACCACTGCATTTCAGTTTCATGTGTGTGCTCACATAAAAGAAATTAAAGATGTGCCCTCCATGCGCGGAGCAATTCAGGAATATCTTTTTGTATATACATGTAAACAACAGGCACAACAGCAATAACAGAAAGCTAATAGAAAAAGCTCATGAGAAACTCATTTGGAGTGGATATTCAAGAATTCCTCCCACCACATTTTCTCAATTTCACTTAGTTCTAGGAAGGGATGGAGAAAATCTCAAAAAATAAATATCACATTCAGTTAAACTTAATTTACCTAATGCTCTAAGGAATATGCACAACAAATTCTCATTCCTCTCAAGATTTTTTTATTTATTACTAACAGAAATAAAAGTTCTAAGCAGTAAAGTCTCCAACATGGGCAGCACTCTGACTTCAGTTACCACAGCTGTCACCTACATGTGTGAAAGTGTTAACATAGTTAAGACCAAGTAATGGGAAAAAAAAGGAGAGCTGGATTCTTTTTTTATACCCTTTGCCCAGAGTATAACTTGAGTTTGGACAATTTGCATCCTGAGTGAAACATTCAGTACTGCAGCAACTGAGTTTGAACAAGCTGCTCTTCTCTTAATAGAGGTGGCTGAGCTTCCTGCACGTTGAAGCCTCTCACTTTCTCTTTTCACTTGCCCTCTCTTGACTGCAGCAGTGTCTAAAATAGGCTTGAGTCTTCCTTCAACTATTGGGAAATCTCCATTCCACTCCAATTCTGACATTGAATTTACTGAGGTGAAAAATAATGTTATAATTTCCCAGACCACAATCACAGCCCACCTGCAAAAAGAGCTGTCCTGGCTCACCACGACACAGAGGCAAGAATGAGCAATAGGATCATAATAACCCAACATTGCTATGACAAAGAAAGGAGTAAAAACATCAAGAAGAAAATGACGACCAGAAGAAGGCACTGTCAGTCCACTCCTTCTTCAGAGTTAATTTGTTCTCCTGTACAATTGACCATTTACAGGAGTTAAAAGTGCATTAATCAGCATTTCTGTGATATAGGGACGATCCGCACATCCTCCAGCAGAAACTGAAGTCCATTTGCCAGCTGAGAGAAAGCCAGGTTCACACATCACACCACTGCCAAAAAGAAACAGCAGAACCATTCCTTTAAAACCACCTGTAAAAAACACAGCATTGACCACGTGTGCCAATGGGCAAGCACTCTGACTTTCCTGCTGCAGAATTGTCAACATGTATGAAATGATAAAATAGTCAGTTGTGTTGTTATACCATTAGTAACTCTAGCCTAGTGATCTCAGTATTCATTTCAAACACTAATGTTACAATAGAAGGTCAGACTAAAGCTCTTTTTAGACATCTGTCTTGTCAGTGAACAGTAGCAGGAAACTACCAAACAAACAAAAAAAAAACACCCACACAAACCAAGCAAAATCCACCCACAGAAACAGGTAGGGATATCCCCTGAACACATTTTCAGCTGTTAACATCTTATAAGTCAGGGACTTGGGAGCCAAGTTATGTCTGTATCTGCACATGTCTTATTCTTAAATATATTTGCCTCTACTAAGCATTCTCTTGAACTGCAGAAAAAGTATTCTCAAATTCCTTCTCTGCCTCATTTTTTAAAGCCATGGACACAATGGGTTCTCATAATAGCCACTAGCAAGTATGCTGAAGCAGGAATTATTTAAGCATTTATACAGAGCAAAAGTTGCAACAGAATAGAATAAAAACACTAAACAAACATATTCAGTTTATATAAACAGAATAAAATAAATGGGAACAGAGTAGTTACATAACTAACTTGGATACTATTCTCCTGTTTGCTAGTGGGATAACTATTCTCAAGTGCACATTCAAACAGCCCTTAGAGAGCACTTGTGGAGCAGAACAGTTTTTGTTTGCAATACTGCAAAAGTGTGTATGGCTCTTTGGTTCTCTCTGCACTTCTGTCACATTTCCCTGCAGCAGAGGCGTGCTGTAAGCCTTACCTAAGCTCTATTCAGCACAAAACTTTAAGCTCTTCACCAGACTGATTAAAGGAGTAGAAGCCCTTATACACACAAAAAGCACATTTGCCTAAGCGTGGGCTGGACCAGAGGTTTAGTAAGTGACGAGAGCTTGGAAACCTTTTGAGACTAAACAGTAGAGAAGTGAAAAACAGTTATTCTCAGCAAGTTGCCTCAGAAGCATTTAAAGGGGCATGGGGAGGAAGGGGGGAACCCCTTCATTTTCTTCACATTCCTGGCACGGAAGGATGGCGACCTGGAAACAAAACAAACACCCCCAGATGCAGAGCTGGAGAACTTTTTCCTCTGCATTTCGTTTGTTCAGTTTTATTTTTCTTCTCCCCCCTCCCCCCTGACAAAGCATCAGGGGCCGGGGAGCGGACATTACGGGCCACACCAAGAGGCGGGAGGAGCTGCCAGGAGAAAAGTTTGCACAGGCTGTGGGGATGGAGGGGACGCCGGGGGCGGACCGCCCGTCGGAGAAGCGGCGAAGCTCAGCCCCTCCTCCCGCCCCCAGCCCTCGGGAGCCGTAAGTAGCCGCAGCGCCGGGTGCTGTTGCTGGAGGGCTGCGGCCCGGCGCAGCGCCGGGAGCGGTATGAGCGAGGTGAAGTTGGCCGTGCTGGGAGGCAGCGGGGCCGGCAAGTCCGGTAAGGGGGAGGAGGGGAGTAGAGGGGCGGGCTCGGTACCCTCAGCCCCTCTTCGCCTCGGGCTGCCGAACACCGGCCAGGCTCCGCTCACCTGCTGGTTGCTTCCTTCCTTCCTTCCTTCCTTCTCGCAGCGCTGGCGGTGCGGTTCCTGACCCGGCGCTTCATCGGGGAGTACGCGTCCAACGCCGGTGAGCAGCGCCGGGCTCCGGGAAAGGGAAGCGGGCGGCCGTCGGGGCGCGGCGCCAGCGGGGCGGTGGAACGGTGCTTGACGTAACGAAGGGAGGAAGAAAAAAGAATGTAGTTGCACACAACTTTTTGGAAGTTTTAGCTTATTTATCAGGGAAGGTTGGCGGCCAGACGTCGACTCTGAAGGCCAGGGAAGGCGAACCGGGTATCTGCGCCGGGATCGTCTCCAACTTCAGTCTGGTGACACGCTCTCCGTGAGGCGGCTGTGAAGGGCTTGTGAGAGAGAGATAACCGGGCTGTGTGAGAGCTCGGGTAGATTATAGTAAGCTCCATCAGAGAGGAGATAGAGAGGAAAGAAATAGTTTTTTTAAAAAAATAAATCACAACACTGCTCTATTAGTATCTCCTTACCCGCTCTAGAGAGGTGAAACACTGTTTATCAGGCACTGCTGGTTAATCAAAGTGTGATGCAAAGTCCCCTGCTTCTGCAGGATTGCACTGCTTTGATAGCTTAGTGACAAGTCTTGCCATGCTGAGGATAGAAGTTCTCATTCATATCGGAATAAACTCACTTAAGACACTCCTAAGATCTCAGAAGATTGCAACACAGGATTTGAACTTTCATGGCTTAGGTAGAAGCAGTAGAAGTATTGAACTGATACACAAGCACCTCTGGAAGTGTGCTATTCCATTTGTGTGGCACAAGAAGGCCCAGAATTTAACAAGTCAAGTGGATTACAATCTATCTTGTTTTCTCTGCTAGAAGATTTTTTTTTCCAAAAACTTGTTTTAAACAAAAACCAGAATAAACAAAAAAGTTTAAGTAATACTAAGAAGCTGAATTTCAGTTATACATCTAAAATAACTTTGAAAGTAGGGTTACAGTTGCACTGAAGTGTTCTACCACTGTAGTTACTTTATGCATAGACTTGAAAAGCTTTTAATGTCCCAAATATTCTTTTAAGCTTAAGCTTTTACTTGCAGATGTGTAGTGCTGTCCACTCACGTTCTACATCACCTACAACTCTGGACAAGTTCCCTGTCCTGGGCCTCTGATACTACATATCTTTTCTGAGACTTGCAAACACCTCTAAAACATTTTGTGTTTGTGAACAAATGTTGGAAGATAAGTTCCCCCTCAATTTCTAGAGGGGCAAAAGGGAGTTAAAAAAACAAAGAAAAGGGGTGATAGAATACACAGCACTGCAGAACTGAGTAGTGAGATCTAAGTAATGATAATAGAAGTTTAATTATGGAAATCACCAAGGAGCTTAGTGTTGGTTCCTAAGATGTTTGGGAATCGTGGTTCATTATCAGTTGAGCTCTTAAGAGTGCAAAAAGAATGCTGAACCAAAGATGCTTGGTTCCAGACATCGTAGCCCTTAACCATACTCGCTTTCTGTGCATTTTGAAGTGTATTTTCAGTAGTGCCAACACTGGTTCTTGTCTCTGTACCTCAGTAATGCAAAGGATTTACACTGTAGAAAACTTGTTGATGACCAGTGCTATGAACACAAGCTGGTTATATTCTCTTAGAACAAACTACCATCTAAAACGGTGATGAAGATCTTGCTGCAGTAAGGTTCTCAGAGCTGCTGTGCTTACAGAGAATCTTTAATCAGAGAGCTGACACTACAGAAATGTTTTAGGATTTAGGCTAAGGACATTATCCTGTAAATACTGATCTGATACTACATAGTTAGGAACTATTGAGGTGCCAAATGTCAGTAATCTAGTTTACTGCTTTTATAATCCTGAACCTCAGAAATAGGTAATTGTAATGAGATGGCAAGTGTAGCAATGGCAGGATAGTAGTAAAGTCCTGGGCTGCAGCAGCAGGGGACACAGAAACAAAGTAAGAAAAACTGCTTACCATATATACAGGCATCTCCAGCAAGACACCCTTGCCTCCACTGCCAACCCTTAAATGAGGTCTGGGAAGGGCTGGATCCTGGCTCAACCCCTTCCAGTCACTCAAGTGCACTGCATCCACCTGAGCTCCCTAGGTTGGCCCTGCCTTCCTACTGGGTTCAAGCCATGACTTAGCATTTCCACTACAGTAATCATCAAGACTTACCTGTTTCTGAGCACCATGTTATTTATTTGTCTTTGTCTGAAAAGAAATCTAGGGTATAAAAGTATTAATCACACCATTGCTTTCCTGGAATGTCACAATGAAATGGTGTTGGTTGGCCTATGGGAATGGGCAGTTCAGATGCAAAATGAAGTGGGATTGTTTCCAGCTAAAAAAACAAACAAACAACAAAACTGTAAAGAAAAAAAGCCTCTTCAGTACTATCTTTCCTTTATCACATTTTCTTCACCACCATTCCCAGTCACTCTAATGCTGCTTCTTATTGAATGCTATATATATTTTTTTTAGAATGCATCTACACTAAACACTTTTGTCTGGATGGGAGGCAGATACACTTGGAAATTTATGACCCTTGTTCACAGGTAAGAATTTTAGGGGACAAAAAACCCTATTCCTCATTCTACCTGTGTGAGGTTAAAAAGGGTTGCAAACATTCTTTCTGTGCTAGGAATTTTTGCACTTTCTCTTTTGCAAGTCTGAAACTTTATATTTGTTGTGGTTCAGGAAATGTGCACCTTCCCATTTCATGGAAGAAACACTCAAATCCTTTATTTTTTTCTATAAATACTTCTGCATTTTGAAATGTCTAGTATTAATTAATCTTTCCTACTTCCATATTGTATATTTAAATACAGCAAACAATTATAGGAATATAAAACAAAATTCTTAAATTTCCTACACGGGTGGATTTTATTATTTTTTTTTATTTTTTTAATAAGGCAAACTGTATATTAAATGGCTGTGGAAATTGTCGTAGTAGATGGGTCTGCAGATGAGACTTACTTTCACAGAATAGATAAGGATAGCCATAATACAGGCATCTACATGTTGGCAAATGAACTTTGATCACAATAAACCACCCTCAAATGAAGATTCTTTTTTGTACTAATTTCTTTGTTTCTGACATGCGTAAGTGTTGATAACATATAACGCAAATGGATCTAGGTAGGTCTGTCACTGCTAGTTCACAAGGATCCCTCTTGGACAGTGATCTTGCCTCTCACTGACCAGAATAATGAATGCTGAAGCCAGAGCACTGGAAGTTTGGCTCAGACTTGAAATCAGTGTCTTAAGAAATCTTAACTTGGTGAGCACATAAAATAACTTACAAACAAATCTATCTTAAAGACAAGCAACAGCAAAGCAGATCCTGAAATAGGCACTGTGCCTCGTTAATATATTCAATGGAGCCCTCCCTTGTCATTACAATCCCTCTTCAAAGCTACTTTTCTGTAGACTTGTTTCCACATATCTCAGTCTTCTTTCCTAAGCCCATCTATAACTTCTGCTTACTGTCATATTAAATTCTGTGGCATGTGAACAAGTTTTTAAGAACATACTTGAAACAGTAGTAGCTTGCTGTGTTAAAGTAGACTAGACTACTTGACAAGTGGAGTGTTTGGTTGCTTCCCCTTGGTCTCCCTTTTTTGCTTTCAGAGATCAACTGTGTTGAGAGCAACTCCTCTTGCTGGTCCTCTTCTAGCTGCCAGTTCTTGCTTAGTAACAAGGCCTAACACTCACTGTTCGCTGCCTTCTGAGTCTTTCTTTCTTCATTTCCTGTAGAGAGAGATCTGTAGAGGACTAAGTAGGTGGTGAGCAGGAGAGGAGGTGGTGGTAATGCCTTTTTATCAGTATGAACTGTTGATATTAGAAAGAGATGGATGGCATATGGAATTCCCATGGGGAAGAAAAACAGGTCCTGCAAGGAGGTCAAGCTGGGGAAGGAAAATTCACATTTGTTTCCGCTTCCTGAAATCTTGCTGTACCAGACTTCTGTCTGGTAGCTAAACCTCTGCTCTGCAGCATTCTCTGTCTCTTCATCTGACAAACAGCCATCATACACAGGTCACCTTTCTTGTTCCTTAACCTGATGCACTCCCAACATTCAGTTATCGTCCATCATATAGAGTAAGTTGCATTTATGATGCTGCTTTGGTGCTGAACTAATCAAGGCAACCAGGGTAGGACACTGGTGAAGGTTATACACTACAAAGAACACAGCTTTAATTCAGCTTAAGCGGTCCTCAAGTTACTGACCAGTGTGTTTTCCAGAAAGCACATGGTCAAGTCTAGGCTGGTGAACTGCCACTATTCTACCCATCTTGGGTCGTGTGGTCCTTGTTGATGGGATAGTTTGCAGCTGTTGCTTTCTAGAAATCATGACAGTGATGCTTCTTTGGGGTGAAGAGACCCAAATACTAACTCTCAGTATCGCTTTATGTGAGTTTTGTCACTTGTGGAATTTAAGTCAATGGCAGCTTGAAAGGAAAACTTTCAAGCCCTGTGGAAATCTATCCTGTGAGTAGGTACTGCTTCAGACTTGAACAATGCAAAGACAAAATGAGAAATGGCTTGGAACAAAGGACTTCTGACGAATTAGTTAAGTTCATTGGGGTCAGACAACTAGAAGCATACAAAACAGTGCCTTAATCACAGATACCAATGGCCTGCATTTAATTCTCCTGTAACTTCAGAATATTCAACATATGTCTGCTGGAAACTGTCTGTACAGATAATGCAATTGCACTGTTTAAACAAAGCAAAGGTGTTTCATAATGAATTCTTTAGTGCTCCAAAATGCAATCTGTAGTGATGCTTATTAATGGATTTTTGGAGCAGGACTCACCTGCAAGCATCCATATCATTTATTCATATCTTTTGCAGTGAAAGATACAATATTCTTGCATTCACACGAACAAAGAAAATACTCGAGTGACAACAGTAATGATATTTTTGCATGTGAATTTGAACTTCTTTCACCTGCAGCAAGGGAAGCTCTCCCTCACAGACGAGCTCCACTGGGCTGATGGATTCATCATTGTTTATGACATCAGTGACAGAGCATCATTTGCATTTGCAAAAGCACTGCTATACAGGATCCAAGAGTCTCACATAGGAGCTTGTAAAAAGTAAGTGGCATTATTTTTGTTTCTTTCAGCAAAGCATACAAAAAAAACTGAGAACATTTCTGTAAGCTCTAGGAATCCAAGTAACAATTAAAATCCAGCAGCGTCCTCTCAGCATAATAGCAGCAGTACAATACATCAAGGTAAACTGTTAAAAATTACAATGTGTTTCACTCTGTCCAAAGTTAAGAGAACAGTGGTCTTTATTCTCTTTTCTTATAGCAGTATGTTTTAAATAATTGCCATAAATTTGTCTCCTGTGACTTAGATGAGTAAAAACCTGACATACATCATGTAATTTTACTCCCTCACTTCTGTTCCCATCAGTGTTGGGGGATGCACCTATAAGGGATTCAAAGAATCTAATACCATGAATTTCTCCTAAGCTGCATTTAGCTGTGACTCCAACATCATTTGTGCGTGAGTGAGTGTATGGTAAGAATGTACTTAGAAAGAAAGTTGAAAGTCTGAGTGGATGTGTTGATGGGTATTGGTTCACTGAGGTGCTTACTAAAATGAATAGAAAAAAATCCTTTTATTACCAGAAATGAAATAAAAAATAACCCTTTTCTGTTGTTTTGCTGCTGAGCTTCTTTAAACAGAGTTTCTATGGAAGAAGTAATTTTAACAAAAATTTGGAATTAGGACTCCAATGTCTTTTTTTGAGTTACACTGTTCACACTGATGTTACATGAATCTCTTTGACTTTATTCTGTTACCTAGAAATTGAGAAAATATTCACCTTGCTTATTCATGAACTGCAGGAGCTGAAAATATCCTCGTCAGCGTAGAGTAAGAAAATTGCAGTGAATGAAAAGTACATGAAATTATTGAGTAGAGGAACTAAAATGAAAACTTCCTGATAGATGTCATAAGAATACCTTGCATGGAAATTCCTTTCATGTCTGACTATGGTCAATAGAAAGCTGTAACTCTACTTGGTAAAGTTAGAAGGCTGGCTTTTTTGGTGTATGTTATTGGGTGTTTTTTTTTTTGTTGTTTTTTTACAATGCCTCTTACTTTTATCATACATATATATAGCACAGAATACTACTCGGTATTTTAACATATCTTTTCTCCAATTAAAACTTTTGATTTTAGAATGGTTGAATCAACAGTGTTTTTGGTTGGTAACAAACAGGATTTATGCCACATGAGAGAAGTTGGCTGGGATGAAGGTCAAAAGCTGGCGATGGATAACAAGTGCCAATTCTGTGAATTGTCTGCTGCTGAACATTATCAGGAAGTTGTGGCAATGTTCACAAAAGTTCTGAGGAGTATCACCTCAAATCTCAAGGCAAAGGAAAAGAGAAGACCAAGTGGATCAAAATCAATGGCCAAGTTAATCAACAATGTGTTTGGAAAGAGAAGGAAATCTGTGTAAAAGATGGTTAGACTGAAGTAGGAACAAGCTGAAATAGTGGAGCACAAGCAGCGCTTGGGATTGAGTCAACTTCCTCTGAAGTTCAGTGTCTGGAGGAGTAAGACGATATAAACCAAAGGTGGGAGATAATATGGGCAAGGGGACAGGGCCTAGACCTAGGAGATCTGAATTCTATCTTCAGTTCTACAGCAGATTTATTGTGCTAGGGCTATGTCACTTAATCTCTAAGCTGCTTCTTTCAACCATTATCTCCTAAATTCTTCACAGAAGGAGAGTTTTGGTACGTATTTATTCAACACCAACATGGTCATGGGTGGAGCTTTTAGGTGCAGCTGAGAATAAACTTATTTATAATAAACTCAGTCTTGCTGACCAAACTCTTGAGAGCTTGAGATATAGTTCTTTTGTGCAAGAACTACTTCGCTAAAGAAAAGTAAAATACTCCTACTGAATGCAAGGAGGAACAGTACAGAATCTCTAAGAGTTTAAAGGTGTTTGACACCTGCTGATATTCATAAGAATTTAATGCTTAGACACCAAATCTATCATCATATCTATCATCAAAGCTGCCTTGTGGAGACATCAGAAGTAGGGAAGCATATAAACAGAGCAGTATTGTCTCCAGTTTCAGTATCTTTTTGGTTTTGAGTGATAAAAGAAAGTAGAGAGTGCTGAGGAAGTTAGGAACTGAAAAGTGGTAGTTGGTGAGCATTGGAAGTTTCAGTGAGATCTTTGTTCTAAATTGTTTAAGGCTAGGATCAGTGTAACATCTTAGGCTGATGACTTTTCCAGAACAGTTTTTCTGAGTTGTAATACAGTTTCTTTGAAAGGCAGATTTGTCTGTTCAAGTATTTGATATCTGCCTGGTGGTAGGAGCCATGCTCCTAAATTGTGCAGTGTTTTTTCTAAGGACCAGTGTTTTTACAACTGAGTCGTTGTAATGGTACTGAAATTCTGCTTGAGAGAGTACTAAGGAATACGTTAGCTATGCTTTGAAATGTGGATATTAAACATCAGATGGGTCTAAATAAGCTGTCAGCTAACATCCAGAGCTCTTGTGTAGACTTACCTAAAAAGGGCTTACCCCCTTGCATGTTTGAAAATGCTTTGCTCATACAGAAATTTTAAAGGGAAGTGGTTTGAAAGTGTACTATTGCCTCCTGCCCATTCCAGAGGACAGCTGGAATTCAGTCTTAGTGAGATGCTACCCTGAAGCTTGCCTCTGTTTGGGAGTGTTATCTGCATTTTAAACTATTAACATTACTTTATAGGTCAGGACAAAATACTGATTTAAAACGTCCACCTCCATAAGATGGCATATAAAAAGCTATACAATCTTAACATTAATGTAAATAAAACTGAAACATATTTTAGTAATTATTGAACAGAGAGCCCTTGCTTTTTTAAGGGAAAAAAATGTATTTCCTATTTACTTATTTTATTTTAAAAGTACAAATATTGGAATATAGTTCTCAGTCACAGCACTACTTTATTTTTATTCAGAGGCTGCTCTACCAGATCAGGAATAGTGTATTTAATATTGCATTGTCATTATCTATGAAATTGAACTTGAAGACTACTCATGTACACCTCTGAGTTTTTCAGCACACATTCCAGAACAACTGCTAGGCTGTTCATCTGCCAGGGCAGCTTTATCTTGCCAGCTCTAGCATTGTCTGATTCTGAACCTCTCACTGTATTTACTACTATGGTATTAAATAAACTGAATATAAGATGGATGTATTTATGCTTTTCTTTTCTTTTCCTTTACTTTGTTATAAAGCTATAAAGCCATCTTTTTTATTTTTCTTTTAATCATTACTTTTTTAGTACTGTGAAATGTTGTATAGATCTGGAATTTGAATTATAGAGGTAAATTTGGAAATCAAACATTTGCACAGAAAAGCTTCTGGCTACAGCTCCTGTACACAGTGAAGAAGACTTTGTGTACCTTTATATAGTGAACAGTAGAGAACAAAAGGTAACTTTTTTTTTTTTTTTAATCTTTATCCTTTTAAAAATACTGAAGACAACCACAGAGAAAATAATTGGTTTTGATTTGCTGGTATTAATTGGAATGTGATCTTACAGATAGATGCAATCTGCAGCATGCCTCACTGGTTTTCTTCCCTTATTATCCAGATGGGATATGTATTGGAATGCACAGTAGCTGTCTCCTGGCCCACAGGCCAGGTTGTACTCAACTGAAAACCACCCGAAACAGCTACAGGGTGCACTTAGGATTAAGAATACCAAAACCTGCTATAGACATAATTTGATGTTCTTAAGATTTGGATTTCAGTTGTCTTTAATCTCTGGTAAGTGCAGATGTGACGGCAGAATTTGGGAAGGAATTCAGTTTCAAAGCAGTAAAGCACACACATTCTTCTGTAACTGTATTAAAAAACTGATTTACATGATGCTAAGTGTTTTTGTAGTTAATTTGTTAGTGTCTCAGCCACATTTGAAATGGTAAACAACAACCCAGCTTGCATAGGAAGTGCATGATGTATTTTGATGTTTGGTGCTCACTCCTTTTAGTGGTATCACCTGCAGCATTTTGAACTCATTGAGAAGAGTGGAAATGGAGCTATTCAAACTACAGGAGTTAAAGTTTATTTTTGCCATACTTGGAAGTTGTTCTTGTTCAGATGAACTTTCAAAGTTTGAGTAAAATTTTGCCTGAGAAAGGAACTCAGAATTGACGTTCTCTCTCACTGTCTTCAACTTTTTTCTTTCTTTTTTAAACTTCAGAAACTGACATAAAAGCAAAGGTTCTACTCAAGTATGAAGGTAATAGCCCCTGGCTTCCAAATGCTGTCTTTCAGAAAGCTTTCAGGTGCTTTTTGAAGCTCTTTCTCACTACAGTTTTGGAAAAAAACAATCAAGGCAAACACAACCTCAGTTTATTTTCCTGCTGTCATGTCTGCATTAAACTCTTTCTTTCTGTAAATCTCGCTATAGTCACATTCACAACAGGACAGAGGGCAAAATTTCACAGAACCTTCAGGCCTGTTGTTGATGGAAGAAAGAATAAAGTAATTGGGTACAACAGAGCAACCAAACATACTGTTTCCTTCTGAAAAATACATTTAAATCAGGAATAACCATAAAAGAGGTAGATCAGAAGTTTTGCAACTGTGCTATATTCTGAAAACAACAGCAGCTACCACAGGCTTCCTAGCCCAGTGCAAGCAGCTGACATCTGAAGCAATTATGAATGGTAAACATTGGAGCTCAAAACCCTTGTGAGTCATGTGGGGACAACTTCATTTCTTTCCTTTGTCTGGCTGCCCTGTTCAGAGGATGATGCAGCAGAAGATTGCAGTGTTCTGTCAGGTGGCAGAGAGAGGGATGGCTGCTGTGCTGTCAGCCTGAGCAGGTAAGCGGCTCTTACTGACAGATTCAGATCACTTGGTGTTTTTAGAGGATGCATTGCAAAGAATTATGAAGAAGGTACTATGAACACCTCTTACAGCAAAACTAAAATGCAGTAAGTAGCCAAGAATACCATTATTTTCAATCACTGTGCCTGTTGGAGCAAATGCATTAGGTTAATGAAGTTTTCATACAGGTCTGCTTTGCTCATGGAGGCAGAGGAACAAACTCCACCTCTGATTAATGTGCTTGAAAGAAAACCTTGCCTATCTACTCTGAAGTAAGAAATTGAAAAAAGAGACTGCCAGCTTAGAATAGTCTAGAGCAATACTGATTTATTCTCTAGGATAAATTAGCTCTCTCTCTATGAAAAAAATGAAGCTCCTTACTTCTTAAACTAGTTCACAGGAAAACTAGGCTCCCTTATGAAAAACTGGCCTTAGCCTTCACCTGACCACACAAAATAAAAACAAGGAGCAGATAAATTTTGACGTGCTCTTCAGACAGTTTGAAAAGCGCATTATTTTATTTTGTTTATATGCCTAAATGTGGATCTGGGAATCTGTCAAATTCTATAATTTCTGTTGTTTTAAGACTTGGGTTTTGTTTCTCTATAAAGATGCAGTGTTGTGAACGGCTGTATTCTCTATGCACCAGGATATTACAGGACAGGGCAGCTATTCTGGATAGGAAACTGTTTTTAAATAGGCGTTACTCTCTCTAAGACACAGACTGTAAGTTTCTGTCTTCTTTTAATTGCTCTATGAAGTAAACTGTGTCCCTCTGGTTACGTAATACCCACGTTTAGCCTTGCATTTTTTGACAAGACTGCTGAGCCATTTACAGCTAAAATCATTTTTTAAGTCTGGCTAGGAGTTCAGTTATGCATTTAATCCCTGCTGGACTCTGTAAAGCGTCCAGAGCTTATCCAGTGAAGGACTCTAATAGTACAGAGAAATATGTACTACAAAGGGGACAAGTGGAGAATGGAATTACGATCATGGGACTTGTATCAAACGATCGAAGCAGGTCTGTCCCTTCCTCCACTCCTATGTTCATATTCAACAGCAAAATGATATCGTATCTATGTGTTTTCTACTTGATACAAATACATCAGGAGACATTAAAACATTTGACCTTAAAAGTACTGTCTTATCTAATGAAGATAACGTTTTTAGGGTTTTTTTTTTGTTTTTTGTTTTTTGTTTTTTTTTTTTACAGAATTGTTTGCTAACCTCTCTTCCATAAGAAAATTCTACTGTAAAGATGCTATGAGCTTCTGAAAGTTTTACAACCTTTAGCTGTGTCTTTCAAATGTAACACGCTGCTTCGTGAGAAAAACGACAGCTTTACTGCTTCCCAGAGCTCCCTCTCGTGGCGTTTTGCGCACACTTCATCCTCGGTGAGCAATAAAACAGTTCATCCCGTGGTTGAAAAATCAATGCTATAAACGCAAGATCACAAAATACAGGCAAAAACCCACTTTCCTTCCAATACCATAAAATTCTGCTATTATGCTGAGCTTAACAATAAGAAATTTCATATGTTTCTTTTGACTTTATATGTACTAATAAAACTGAATGAGTTTATAAGGCATTTCTTAAGATTGACATATCTGAACTCAGCTGTTTCTCTGAAACAAAGTTCTGCTACCCACGTCTGTGATGCTGGTAGGTTTCCTGTTAGCACACTGCCATGCTTATTAATGTCCTTGAGAAGGGCTTGAGAACTTTCGTAATTTCCCCAACTGCTTCTATTGACCTGATAAGAGGTCTGCCCTCCACTCATTCCATTGCTTCTTGAAGGTGTTTATCCCCAGAACAAGATGTGGCAGGGAGCTAAGGCACAGTTAAGCAGCAGCATTTCTTCTCTTATCTGCAAGCTATAGTGCAGATACACTAGTTCAGTGTTTAAATGAGTAAGATCACATAACTGGAAAGACTTCAGGAGTGGATTCATCTAGCCAAATACTGAAGTCTACTTCTAGATTGAACTGAATTGATACTTCACATCTTACTTATATGCCTTTATACCCAAGAATTTGCCTTTTCAAGGTGATGCCTAAAACAGTGTACGTGAATCACACTCCAAAAAGGCATTAAACTCTGTGACAACTATAAAAATAATTAAGATTGGAGATCTCTGAAGTTAGATGAGATGAATTGTGCTCCAAATATGGCCTCTTGAGGCTCTTTGCTAGCTGTTTTGCTCTTCTTCTTCATCACTACAGAGCCCGTCTGTCCTACTTTACAAAGTCAATTGAGTCCCTATGGTTAGACAATTAACATGTAGCTGGAGACAAACAGTGGGTCATTTAATGCCAGATTTATTTCAGATGAGTAATCAGGATGCTAGATTAAATTTGATCCCTGTTGAACTTCATGAAACACCCTGAAATACACCCTTCAGTGTTGAATTGATAGATGGACAACAATTAGTGCAAGAGCAAAGACACTGACTCATTTTGTGACTTACTCTGATAGAAATTACAGGCCATATGTAAAGAGCCGAACTCTTTACTTGCAAATGGACAGCATAAGATCTTTCTGTTGTTCATGCTCTGATTTGAAGTGGAATGTCCTCCTGTTTGCAATTGGAGGATTTTGCACCAAACGGCTCTGACTTAATGCCTTCTTTGCCTTATTCTTTAATAGTAAGACTTGTTACTCCCTGGGAACACAGCCCCCTGCGCTGGTAGATAGGGATGGGGAACAGAATAAGCCCTTCATGATCTATGACGAGATAGTTTTGCAACTGCTGTGAAAGCTGGATGCTTACAAGTCCATGGGACCAGATGGATTGCACCCTAGAGTGCTGAGGGAGTTGGCGGATGTGATTGCCAAGCCACTGTCCATCATTTTTTGGCAGTCCTGGCTAACTGGGGGTGTCCCGGTAGATTGGAAACTGGCAAATGTGATGCCTATCTTCAAAAAGGGCTGGAAAGATGATCCTGGTAGTGACAGGCCTATCAGTCTCGGTGCCCGGAAAAGTCATGGAACGAATAATCTCAGGAACCGTCATGGACCAATTAAAGGTCAACCAGGGAATCACGCCCAGTCAGCATGGGTTTATGAATGGTAGATCCTGTCTGACAAACCTGATTTCATTCTATGACAAGGTGACCTGCTTAGTTGATGAGGGTCAGGCTGTTGATGTGGTCTACCTGGACTTCAGTAAGGCCTTTGACACTGTCCCCCATAACATTCTCATGGAGAAGCTGGCTGCCCATGGTCTGGATGGGTGTCTGCTCTGCTGGGTGAAGCGCTGGCTGGATGGCCGGGCCCAAAGAGTTGTGGTCAATGGAGTTGAATCTAGTTGGCGGCTGGTCACAAGCGGTGTCCCCCAAGGCTCAGTACTGGGGCTGCTTCTGTTTAGTATCTTCACTGATGATCTTGATGAGGGGATTGAGTGCACCCTCAGTAAGTTTGCAGATGACACCAAGCTGGGAGGGAGTGTTGATCTGCCAGAGGGGAGGAGGGCACTGCAGAGGGATCTGGACAAACTGGATCGATGGGCCAAGGTTAACGGCATGAGTTTCAGTAGGGCCAAGTGTCGGGTCCTGCATTTTGGTCATAACAACCCCAGGCAACCCTACAGGCTTGGGGAGGTGTGGCTGGTAAGCTGCCTGATGGAAAGAGACCTTGGTGTTCTGATGGACAGTTGGCTGAACATGAGCCAGCAGTGTGCCCTGGTGGCCAAGAAGGCCAATGGCATCCTGGCTTGTATGAGGAATGGTGTGGTGAGCAGGACTAGGGAAGTCATCCTGCCCCTGTACTCAGCATTGGTGAGGCCTCACACTGAGTACTGTGTTCAGTTTTGGGCACCTCAGTACAAAAAGGATGTAGAGGTACTGGAGCAGATCCAGAGAAGGGTAATGAGGCTAGTGAAGGGCTTGGAAAATCAGCCCTATGAGGAGAGGCTGAGGGATCTGGGGCTGTTTAGTCTGGGGAAGAGGCAGCTGAGGGGAGACCTTATTACTCTCTTCCAGTACCTGAAAGGTGCTTACAGTGAGAGCGGGGTAGGTCTCTTCTCACCGGTGACAGGTGACAAGATGAGGGGAAATGGCCTCAAGTTGTGCCAAGGTAAGTTTAGGTTGGATGTTAGGAAACAGTTCATTACATAAAGGGTGGTTAAACATTGGAATAGGCTCCCCAGGGAGGTGGTTGAGTCATTGTCCCTGGATGTGTTTAAGAGCTGTTTGGATGTGGTGCTTGGACATATGATTTAACAGAGGGTTGTTAAGGTACTATGGTTAGGCTGCGGTTGGACTTGATGATCCTTGAAGTCCCTTCCAACCTGAGTAATTCTATGATTCTATGATCTTAAAATATTTCATTAAATTAGTGGTCGAACTAAACAGCAAAAAATTTCAGTAAGCTTTTTCCTTTTGATTACTGATGTGTGGTCACAGTCACACCAGTTTCCCATCACATCTCCAGCTGCCGCATCTCTACGTCATCCTCCAAATAATAGCATGAGTCCAGAGAAATGCATGTACTGATGGACCAGCAGATGCTGCTGTAGAGAGTATGTAGCATCTAATAGCAAACATCTTTCTCTTACAGAGAGCAGATCTAATTCTCTCTTTTATATTCTTAGACTGCTTTACCTGAAAGTTAGAGGACCTCAAACCACAAACAAACTTTACTTCCTCTTTCAAATTTCAAACCCCATATTTACTAACAGGATCAGGAGTTGAGATAGAGTGAATTAACCAACAGAGCATTTCAGAGAAAGTTCAGTGGTTATATAGGCTGGAATCTAGACTGAAATATTGTCTTTTTTGTTGTCCTATACAGTTGAATTGGTAAAATGTAACAGAAATTGCCTTGTGGTTTTATAGTTTCTTCCACATAAGCTATTACCAGGACAGTCACCTTTTACTTTGCAACAAGATGGCTTCATGCAAAAATCCTAATTTAAACACAATCTCCATTTACAATAATGGATTATAAAAATGTATTTTGCTGGCATATATCTAGACTTCATTCTTTAAATTCTCTGCATGAAAATGTCCTCTGAGCAAATTTTCCTGGTTTCTAAAGTTGAGTCAAATAGGTAAAGCTACTTGTGTATAAGGGTTCTTGTGATTACTAGGCTAAGCTAGATGGTTGCACAATTATATGATTAAATACAGCAACATTTTTTACTAACTACATATAATTTTGGCTGTCACTCACAATCAATTGCATTAGATGATTCAATAAGTGATTGAGGCAGTCTGGGATCTGTCCTATACAGACCTTAGGGAATACTGCAAATACTGAACTAAATTGCATAACTCATCTTATGCACAAATGGAAAAATGCTTACAAAAGAACTAGTCTATACTCATCTTTTACAGTGTTTGAAATCTTCTGTTTGCTTGCTTTTTTTATCACCAATATAAATTTAAAAACAAATACTATACTTCATGTATGTTTTTTTCTAAATGCACAGGGTTCATCTAGTTATCATTTTAGCCTATATTAAAGAAAGGCCAATGAACACAAGATTGTCTCTCTCGAGTGGTCTGGTCTGGCTTCACAGAATTATTTAAACAAGATTTTTTACCTAGCCTTTAAAGAGTGCCTCCAACAAGCTTTGTTGGTGCTAATGCTGTAACTTTCCCAGGAGTCACACCAGTTATGCTCAGCTTAGTAAGTTACTCTTTGGACTTTCTCATTTCCTTCTCAGTGATCCCTGTTGAACTTATTCTGCGATGAATTTAGTAGTTGGGGTTATATACACCTGGATTACTAAAACACAAAACAGGTATAATAGAGCATATTATCATGCCCTCATCTCTTTTTAACACAGTACGCTAGTAAGTATCTGGCTTTGTAAGGGGCATGGGAGAAATCTTTCCCTCTCTCTTCCTTTCTGGTAGCACATACAAATGCACATGTGATAAAACTCCAATTATTATTATTTTTCTTTAAATCTGCACTAACATTCAAATACAGGTATGCCTGAATTGAGATTAAAATATGTTAATATACACAACACTTTATATATGCATACTAGCCCTTTTCAGGTACACTGGACAAATAAGTAACACAGAGCACGTATCGGAAATCTTGTATTTCCACTTTGACCACAGAGTACATATGTCTACATGCAGAATGGGAGGGAGATGTTAGTG